GTAATGATAACGATTTATCCTTAAACCAGGTATGATAATATAAAGTATTATGAATAATGATAACTACATGCAATGTTTTTGGAAAAATTGATTAACCATGCCTTATTCAAAATGCATCCTAATTGAAAAATAATTTAATTGTCTCAAAATAGAATATATGACAATATTTAAATATAATATATCCTAGACTGACAAATCGTCTCCGTTCAGAATCGTTTTTCGTATACAATGATACCTATCATTGCATTCAAATGTAATCCCATCCATTACAGTAACCTACTGTACAGGCGTACAGCAGAGCGACATCCACGACTTACCTGCAGCTTTTTTTTAAAATTTTGTTTTATTATAACCAATCAAGGACTCGACTGCGTTGGCCGTGGTAAGAGTGTTATATGACTTTAGGATTTAAGTATAAAATGAATATCATACAATTTTTTTAACACTAAATAAATGGTAAGCAATAATTAGTTAAACAATACATTACAATACATTAATCATTAATGTACAGTTAAAAATAATAAATTTAAAATGTTGAATTCCTCACAATATTTTGTGATGTATTACAATTTTTAAATAGCCCCTCTCCCCGCTTGATTGAGCTCCAGCTACGCTATTGACAATCAATACATTTGGACTCAAAGAATAAAATATGCAAATGCATAGAAATCCTGTCCTTACGAGTAGATTTACTTTAACAAGACATTTTGTTTGGCCTTCAAGTATATATTTTTGTTCACAGCACGTTTATGAAATGCATTTTTAATTAATTTCTTAGAAAAGTACGTTTCTATCATTTTATATCCAGCGACATGGTAGTGTCACGAGCTAAGTAAAAAAAGGTGACATGACACGACAGTGTGTACTGTATATAGGTATACAGATGAGCGTCTTACGATGATTTGACATATCTATCTGTCACCTACGTCCAAACGATATTACAGTGAAATAAAATACTTTTCACTGTTTTAAAAAAAAAAAAATAATTTTTAATTGAAAACGAAGAAAGGTACCGCGGACCACCGGTCGGGAAACACTGCTATAATGGATGTGTTAAATTTGACAATGACAGGTTTCATTGAATACGAAAAACAATTCTGAACGGAGATGATTTATCAGTCTAAGATATAATATTAAATTACCTAAATTTAAATTTTATTAATTATATTTTTATACGCTTACAAAATTTTTCTATATTGATTCTGGATTTTATTTTTAACTGTTATTTGAAGATAATGTTATGGAGAACCTCTTGTGTTGGGTTTTTATCCTTAGGTATAAATTACAACATATATGCATTTTAAACTTCAAATTTCATGCAAATTTTCGCGATTTTGACATATTTCATAAATATTTGAACTTTATGCTTATAAACAAAAATTATGACTAACGGTTTTTGATTTTTTTACCACGATTAGTACAACTTATAATAAACCTTGTATTAAATTTTAAAGATTTTTGGATGGCCAAATTTCTTAAATTTTAATTTAAATAAAAATAMTTAGAAAAATCGAAAATTTCAACTGTTTATAAATAGCTAAAAAAACAAAATATTTTGAAAATTTAGTTGTAAATAAATAACGCTAATATAAACATTTGGTGAAAATTTAAAGTATTTACAATGATTCGTTTTTGAGTTACAGCAAAATAAAAAAATCAACTTTGTCGAAAACTGATTATGTATAAAAATTCCCATTTTTTCGTTATTTTTTTATGGATTTTCTATAACCATCATTTCACGTGATATTTATTATTTCACTTATCATCAATGRCAATTAGCCGTGTTTATTTTTGCCCTAATGTATTAAGTCCTATACTTTTAGTGATGAATTCTTCATTTTTGTAATTGTACAGTAAAGTTACTTTATTGCACACTTATCATGTATTCGGATTTAACATACATTTGGTTTGTATTGCTCGATTTATTAACTGCCCAGATGTTAGGACTTATAACAGTGCAGTAAAAATATTTCAGATATAGGACTTATTTTATTTGATCATAAACATTAACTTTAAAGAAGTTGAGTTATAATAATTTGTGTTTTTACAAACACTTCCAGTGATATTATTTTGTTTTAAGTCATCCCAACGTTTTGATAAAGTAATGAGTATTATTACTCTTATGATATTATTGTATTAGCTGCCTGTAATATTAATATTATTTCATAAATAATTATAACATATCAAGAAATATTATTAAACTAATCAGTTGAGCTTTGATTGTCTATTTCATAGAACTAGTTTAAAGGTTCATACCAATAAAAAAAATTTCTTGGAGTTATTATGATTTCAAATGAATAATAATAATATTATATTATAATTATTGTTAATAATATGGTTTTATGATAAGACATTATCATTATATGTGGCGTGTGGGTAATATTGGATAAAAAAATATAAATAAACAATTTAGTATTTACTAGATATAACTAGGTGTTTTTCATTTTAATTTAAATATCTAATACCTACACTATTTCAAATTTTCAAGGTTTTATAAAAGAAAATATAATAATTTGTTTACAAAAAGTAATTGTTATAAGTCCATTTTAAATTATAAGTCCATGGTTATCCAAATTTATTTTGTCACATATTTTTAAGTACATATTATTTTTATTTTTTTAAATGTCATTAAAATAAATAAATAAATATTATATGAATTCAACTCATATATTTAAAAGAAACTACATATATTTTTAAGTTAATTTCAATTTAGAAAAAACGATTTGATTAAATATATTACTTAAGTTAAGTGGATGTAAAAAAAATTAAAATTAAAAATAGCTCTCCCGTGCAATTTCAATTTTGTGACTTATAACAAGGCGTGTGCACTAGTCATCGATGTAATAAATAATGCACAGACCCCATTAAAATTACTAAATTTGTTTTCAGCCAAGTAAACAAAATTCGGATTAATTATTTATATATATATTACACATTAGATCATATACTTAGATTCCATCTTATATCACACATTAAATAGCATTTATCTTTAAGTTATTTTCACTAAGCGTTTGGAGCTGACAGAGTGTTTTTGTTGGGGATATCTATTATCAATTGTTTTTACCTGTTCGCAGCTAATATACTMGTATCACCACCACTGCCCACCAGTCGTGTTGCAAGTTCGGAGTAGTCTTTCATATGCGTTGTGGAGTTTTTCGAATAAATTGATTAATAAATGCTTAGTACAAAACTCGTAATAAAATAAAATAGTTAGGTAGTCCGAAAACAATTGAGCACGCGCCTCACTAAATGAACCACGTTATAGACGTGCTTAAATATATAAAACCGTATCTACCGTTTTATTTTATTTTACTAAGGCACAGCTAGGGGATAATAAAACTCCTGGACTAACTGTACTTATAGTAATTAACTAACCGATTACTATTTATGATTTATAACAGTGAAATAATAAAATTATGAGTAGGTATACAACTTATAATAAAACTGGTAATTCCATGATTGACATCGCGCGCCGCAGACAGACGACTGTCACACACTGGTTTACATGGCCGGAGCCTTTTTTAAGGGTTGGATATAGCTCGCAGATTTTTAGTGGACGTCGTGTGCGTTATTATTATGGTCATATTATGTAAAATACAACAACATAATACAAATTCATGGATCATGGACCGATTATCAGCACATGCTTTAGTACACACACTGAATAGGCGTGTATTAATAAATTAATAATTATTGTTATTATTATTTTACTTGTACCTACCAAACACACAAGTAGAAATAGTGTTAATGTGTTCATGCACATCAACAGTTACATGAAATTATACTATAGCACTGTGACGTTATATTATAATAGTATTATTATATAATTTATTTTATGTGTACGCGCTTCAAGGGCGCCCATCTGTTAAAACCTAATGGGGTGACAATCATAAAATAAAGATGTAAAATGACATTCTTAATCTAACTTCTAGATTAAGAATCAATTAAATTAATTTTATTAAATAATGAAACAAATATAGGTACATGTTATATGTGAAGAAACATAAGATTTTAAATTACACAGACTATTGGTCAAATTTGATGGGAGTTCCTAAAGTACAAGATATTATGCCTCTTAAAAGATACCAAAAAATATTACGTTCTCTTCATTTTCAGAATAACGATGAATATGACCCCAATGATAGGATTTTATAAAATCTGGCCATTTCTTAATAAAATACGTCAGAATTGTTTAAATCAAGAAGAAGGAAACCGTTATTCTATTGATGAAATGATGATTCCCTATAAGGGAACCAAAGCAGGTTCTCGTAGGCAATATATTAAGTCTAAGCCCAAAAAATGGGGCTTTAAGTTTTTTATAAGGGCTGGAATTAATTGTCAAGTATTTGACATTTTGCCATATGGTGGTGAAAGCACATTTACTGATATTAAATTTACTGAATATGAAAACAAATATTTTGGTTTGGGTGGAAAGGTAATTCTATCTTTAGCTTCCACGATACCAAGAAAACCTCTTTCAGTTATATACAATGACAACTTTTTCACATCACCGGAACTTATTTATCACTTGAGAAAAAAGTATGGTATTCTTAGTCTAGGTACAGTACAGCAAAACCGCCTGAGAAATTGCCCACTATTAGATGAAAAAAGTTTTTTAAAAAAGGTAGAGGAAGTTACTCTGCAAAATGTGATAGAAAAAAAAAAGTCATGGTTGTAAAATGGTTTGACAATAAATCTGTTTGCTTAGCGAGTAGTTATGTTGTAGTGCATCCATTGTCAACTACAAGAAGGTATAATAAAACTACGAAGTCTAGAGTAGATGTGTCTATGCCTCAAATTGTCAAACATTATAATTTGSATATGGGTGGTGTTGACCTCGCTGATATGTTCATTGCAATTTATCGCACGAACATGAAAACACATAGTGGTACTTAAATATTTTTTCCCAATTGTTAGACGTGTGTGTCAATAATGCTTGGCTCCAATATCGTAAGGACTGCGTGGAACTAAAAGAAAAAAAGGTTATACGCCTAAAAGAATTCAGAATAAATATTGCGATTGCTCTGTCCTCTAAAAATAAGCCAAAAGTTGGGARAAAATCTAAAGAAATGTGTATACCAGAAAATATAAAGATAAAAAAGAAAATTGTACCACGACCGATAGATGATGTTAGACTTGACCGTTATGACCATATRCCTATTGTCGGAATAAAAGGAAGATGCAGAATGTGCAAGACTGGTCAAACAACATTTTCATGTGACAAGTGTGATTCGAGGCTGTGCATCACATCAACAAGAAATTGTTTTAAAATATTTCATAAACAAAAATAAGTTAAATACGTTAGTATTATGATAATATGTAGTTTTTCATTTTGTTTATCATATTCAGTTAAAAGTTATTTTATTTTGATTAATTTTGTTATTTTAAAATATTTTTTTAAATGTGTTATTATTACTTGACATACCAAGTTTCCAGAGGACATGGAAAATTTGAATTTGAATTTTAAATTTATATATATTGTTATTAATTTAAAAAAAATGTTTATAATATTAAGTCGAAATCGAAAAGATGAACTGAATAATTTTTAAACACAATAAAAAGTTCCTATAGTGGTCTCAATCAACCGTTATTATTATTAATTGAAACTATGTAAATATTTTAAATCTATTTTTAATAATATGATAAGAAATAGCTGGTTATTTCTAGTACTAATCAAGATGAAAAATCTATAAATCTAAATTTAGAATAATTAAATTAGAAATATAAAATTAAAATATTGATTTATTCGCTATATACGTATATATGAAAATAATAACCTTATCTTGGCAATGTATCCTTAAAGATACAGGACCTACAATATCGGTTTCTGGCAATGTATCTTTTAAGATACAATTGATAACTTTGAACTTTCAAGTCCAAAATTTTTTTTGATGGCATTTTTGAATTCAGTGACCTTAGATCAGTTTAAAAATATCTACTTTGAAATTTTCATTCTAGTATTTTGATGCTTGCCAAGTTAAGGGTTAAAAAATACTTTTAGATTCTGACAGTGTTATGTTTTAA